TCATTCAGTTTTGGAACTTGGGAGAAGGGAGAAAAGTTCGTCTGGTGTGAATCTAGGATTGATATATTTGAGCTCATTGTTTCAACTATTGTGTCAGTCCATCTCATGGAAGGTTTCCCTCGTTTTTGCTGACCCTCTGCTTTACCAACTGTGATGTCCTTCTAGCGATTGATCTTTCCTGATGACGTGTCCAAAGTAAGTGAGTCGAAGTCTTGCCATCCTCACTTCTAAGGAAGACATTTAAACAAACAAACAAACAAAAAAAAACCCATTGCTGTCAAGTCGATTCCAACTCATAGTGACCCTGTAGGACGGAGTAGAACTGCCCCATAGGGTTTCCAAGGAGCAGCTTGTGGATTTGAACTGCTGGCCTTCTGGTTAGCAGCCGAACCATTTATATGTCCTCTTGCTTTGCAAGGCTTAAAGTATTTCAATCATTCAGCCAAAGAAAGGGGAAGTTGTTTGACCTGATTTCTTTGCTTCTGAACTGCATATCTTCTATTTCTATAGCTGCCTGCCAAGTCACACAGACTTATGTCAGGGTTCCCCTCATGCGTCTCGTATTTCTGTGATTTGCTGAAGCCAGTGCCCTTCAGATTTTCCTGAGCGTGCAGAGAGGGAAAGATAAAGAATTTCTGTGAGCTGCCCAGCTACCCTGTGCTCTGGCAGGTCTGGGCTCTGAGAGAGTTGATAACAATTCCAAATCGTCCTTAGAAAGGTCTTGAGATCTTCTCCCGAGTTTGAATAAACCAAGCATATCTGAAGTCTAGTGGTGAGCATTGCCTGGTAAGTTGTGAAATTCTTCAGTATTTGTTGCTGTTGTTCTAATAGTTACAAGATAAAAATCAAAACAGCAGACAGGCTGCTGAGGCCATCTGCCAAGCAGCTCTGCAGTGTTGAAATCTCCGCCTTAGAGGGCCCAGTGTGCTGTAACTTTATCTCTCAGCGCACGAGGTGTGATTTCTAAAACCCCAGCTTCCTTATTTTGAAATAAAGATGTTTTTCAAAATACCTAAGATAACTGCATTACTTTGAGTGAATTTACACAGGAAATCCTCTAGGGAGAGAGCTGAATAATTTACTAATATCACATGGTTTCCCAAACCCACCTTCTCTTTCCTACCTCTACGCCACTTGACTTTGTCCACTCTGGGCTGCTGTCCTATTTTAGGGCCAAAACAAAGAGAAAACCAGTTCCCTTCTAGTCGATTCTAACTCACGGCGCCCCCATGTGTGTCAGAATAGTACTATGCTCCGTGGGGTTTTCAGTGGCTGCTTTTTCAGAAGTAGATCAGCAGGACTTCCTTCTGAGGTGCCTCTGGGTAGACTTGAACCCCCAACTTTTCAGTTAGCAGTGGAGAGTGTTAACCATTCTTACCACCCAGGAACTCCTAAACATAACTGGCTCACATATTGGGGGACCTGGGAAAGGTTTTTGACCCCAGTCAGTTTTCACCCCCTCCTTCTCCCTCAACTAGAGCCTGATTTCTCAAGAATAAGTAGACCCATTGTAGGAGCAAGATGAGGAAAATAGATTTTGCAAATCAAGAAAGGGGAAGCACTAGGGCAGCAATAAAAACAAATTAAACACACACACAGAAATAAAACAAACCAACGTAGAGACTGCTACAGGGCAAGATGCCTTTGAAGTGTCTGTGGCCTGGGCTCCTGCTAAGGTCCCCGGAGACGTTCAGGCTGAGGTTCTGCCTTGGGGAAGGTATTCTCAGACAGCTCAGAGCTGCAGGGGCTGACACTCAAGCCGAAGTCCAGAGCCCCCTGTGGCTGGAGTGTCCTCAAGGAGGGTAAGGATTAGAGAGGGAGTCAGGCACTGACGGGGAGGAGCCACACAGGGATGCTGCTGACCTCTCGTCCTGTGCAGGCGCTGGGCTGAGCATCTTAAACCCAGTGTTTTACTTAAACCTTGAAACAACCTTATAGGGTAGTAGAAGTCCCTGGGTGGTGCCAACAGCGTGGCTGCTAACCAAAAGGTTGGTGGTTCCAATCTACCCAGAGGTACATCAGAAGAAAGCCCTGGCAATCTACTTTCTGAAATATCAGCCACTGGAAACCCTATGGAGCACTGTTCTTCTCTGACACACATGGGGTTGGTTGCCATGAGTTGGAATCCACTCGATACCAACTGGTTTTTAGGCTTCTTGGGTGGTGTAAATGGTAAAATACTTGGCAATTAACTGAGGTCCACCCAGAGGCACCTTGGAAGAAAGACCTGTCAATCTGCTTCTGAAAGGTCTCAGCCATTGAAAACCCTGTGGAGCACAGTTCTGCTCTGACACACATAGGGTTGGTTGCCGTGAGTTGGAATCGACTCAACGGTAACTGGTTACTACTATATCCTCATTTTACAGATGGGAAAATGGAGGCTTAGAGATATAAGATCGTTGCCAAAGGCCATGTGGTCAGTAAGAAGCAGAGTCAGGACTAGAACCCAGGTCTCCCGAGTCTAGTGCCTGCACCCTTAATCTGTGCCTTCTCCTGCCTGCTGGGACACAAGGCCTCTCAGAAAAGTCTGGGCTCGAGGCAGCAGGAGATGGGGTTTGATATCTGCTCTTGGCCAGAAGAAGCCATACCCCAAGTCTGCACTGTTCAAAGGCAGACTCAGGTGGAGAGATGGAGGTAAAGGAGCAAGGAGGATGAGGCATGATGTGAGAAGACTGATTGCTATGGCGATGGAGAGAATACAAGAGACGTTTCAAAAAAGGAATGGCAGAACTTGGTTCCCATAAGATAAAAGGGAGGGAAGAGTGAAAATGGTTCCTAGATTTTTAATGTCTTAGCTATCTAGTGGAAAGCCTGGTGGTGTAGTGGTTAAGAGCTACGGCTGCTAACCAAAAGGTTGGCTGTTCAGATCCACCAGGTGCTCCTTGGAAACCCTATGGGGCAGTTCTACTCCATCCTGTGAGGGTCATTATGAGTTGGAATCGACTTGATGCAATGAGTTGAGTTTCAGCTGTCTGGTGCTGCCGTAACAGAAATACCACAAGTAGGTGGCTTTAACAAAGAGAAATTTATTTTCTCACAGTCTAGGAGGCTAGAAGTCCAAATTCAGGGTGCCAGCTCCAGGGGAAGACTTTCTGTCTCTGTTGGCTCTGGGGGAAGGTCCTTGTCATCAATTTTCCCCTGGTTTAGGGGGAGAATTAGTGCAGGGACCCCAGGTCTAAAGGACACGCTATTCTCTTGGCTTTTGTTTCTTGGTGGTATGAGGTCCCTCTGTCTCTCTGCTCACCTCTCTTTTATATCTCAAAAAAGATTGATGTAAGACAAAACCTAATCTTGTAGACTGAGTCCTGCCTCATTAACATAACTGCCTCTAATCCTGCCTCATTAACATCATAGAGGTAGGATTTATAACACATAGGGAAATAACATCAGATGACAAAATGGTGGACAATCACATAATACTGGGAATCAGGGCCTAGACAAGTTAATACACATTTTTGGGAGACACAATTCAATTCATAACATTAAGTTTGAGAGACTTGGAGATGGTTCAGGGAAGAAAATTAATCCCATTGTGGATCTCTTGAGTTTGACATGAGAGAGGACGGGAGGACTCATTTTGAGCTACTCTGTAAATGGGACAAAATTCTGGAGGACAGGTGAGAGGCAGGGGCTTGAGATCTGGTCTGGAAGGTTGGTGG